ATGGGGGGGTTGCAGGTCTAGAGGGGTGATGGACGTGGTTGAGCATCACCACAGAGATGTTCTCCGGCCTGTCTGGGGCTGTCACACAGCCTTCCCACCATCACACAGGCTTCCCACTATCACACATGCTTCCCACCGTGTCCTGCCACGGTTTTCCCACCTGGCATGTGTGGGGTCACTCCTGGGGGTGAGGGACCTGGGGGGTCTTCACTGGTGAAGGCCAGCAGCCAGGGATGGTGGCTCCTTCCCTCTGCAAAGCCCCCCCGGCAGCAGAGTTGTCCTAGAAAGTCTCATTTCTCCCTTTGGTGACGTTCAAATCTATACGGCGCGTGGAGATTTCACGTGGAGATTTCACGTGGAGATTTACCCGAGGGTTTCATGAATAAGGGTTATTTTTCCCCTCCATGGTTTTAGGGTTTGGTTTGGTTGATGGAGAGAGGGAGTTTGTGGCAGCACGGTGCCTGTCACCGGGTGCACCGTGCGGGCTGGTGTACCTTGGCAGCACACCCCCTCCTTAGGAAATCCTCTGGAGTAAAAAAAAAAAAAAAAGTTAAGCATAATTTGTTATGAAATAGGCTGATAGACCAAACTTCAGCGTGCGATTGAAACCAGATGTGCATATTTTCCTTTTGAATCCTCAAACGATAATAAAAGTCTTATTTTGACAGATTAAAAACTACTTGCAAATTGCAGAGGTAGCGGTGCCTTGCAGTGATGCTCTGAGAGCAGGGGGGGGCTGGGAGCATCTCTGCCCCTCTCCCCCCAACTTTGGGGGCTGCTGCCCCTTTCCCCCCCCATTGCAAAGCTCTCACAAGGCACAGATTCCCCCACCCCACCTCTGACACGGGCAGAAATATTTACCAGGGCTTGGCTGAGGACTGGAAAAAGAAAGAAAGAAACCCCAAAACAATGTCGATGGTGTTTCTAGAGAAAATATTTGGGGTGGGTCACGCAATAGATTAATTAGATTGATAGTAAAAAAACCTGAATTTCAGAGCGGTTTGCTGTGTCCCTGCCTGTCGTGGCTCACTGTCGGTTTGGAAGGAGTTTCTGATTTATTGCTGAATTTTTACAAGTCCTGAGGATGCTGGGGTGTGTGTGTGAGGTGTGTGTTGGACCCGGCTCCAGCGTGGCCAGGCTCGGGGGGGCAGGATTAAGGGTGTTCACCCCCTGGCAATTCTCTTAGAGGAGGACACAGCCTCTTTGCTTCCAAAAGCCGGGGTGGAAAAACCTGAATTAAACAACCTGCCGTGGAATTGTTTCCTTCTCCCCACTTCAAAGGAGAGAAGGACACCGTGGAGCACGGCCACGCGTGCCGGCGGTTTTGCAGCTGAATCCCTGGATCCGGACTTTCTCATTTCCAGGTTAAACCCAGAGGAGGGAGGGAGGGCACGGGGGGAGGAAACTTTGGCGACTCCCAGCCCTGCACAGAGCCGAGGTCTCCAAGAACAGCTTTGGTTATAGAAAGCAGATGGAAGAGCAGTGAGAGCTCAGGCTGTCGGATGCAAAACTTTGCCTGTAAAATCAGGGCGAATCAATTCAGTAGGTAATTGATTTCGGTGAGTGAGATCCAAATTTTTACCTAAGGAGATCAAACAGACTGTGGGATAGAGCCAGCACCGGTGCAGGCTAATTTTCAGGTATGGATACTTACATAAATAGGTGTATAAATATGCACACATGCAAATAGGTAAATATATAGCAATATAAATCCCTAAATCCACTTTGGTTAATTATATGTAATTAATTTTTTTCAGTATCAAAGGCTTGCTTCACTTTCAGCAAAGCTATAGGTAGAACGAGATACACAACTTTTTGCTGAAACACCTGTTTTTCTGTGCAGAACGGGCACGATGGACTGTGTTCTGAAGGGGGGGTGGAGGGGGGATGGTGTTTATCCAATTTGTCCCTGTTATTATTACTGATTGACTTCTGATTTCTCAAATCTGTGTGGTTTGAGGCTGTTCTTCCTTTTTCTTTCTTTCTTGGCATGTTGTGTGGAGCTTCTTTTCTTGATCTCCATGGGGATGGGGGTAGCTTGTGCTTTCCTTGCAAAAGCCCAGGTAGAAAAGAGGGAACCCTGGTCAAAAAAGCTGGCTTTGTTCCCTTCCCCCTCCCCTGCCGCGTGGTTCGTAGAATGATTTTCCTGGGAATAGTCCTAATCTGGGGCAGAGCAGACTTTGGACCCACGGGCTGGGGCAGGGCGAGGTGCCAGAGATGCTCAGGGCAATTTGGAGAGCTCAGCCCCGAGGGCTGGAGGATCCTTCCAACCTGCCAGGGGAGGAAGAGGGGATGCATCAGGTCTGCCCTCACCAAAACCAGGGTTGAAATAGTTGAAAATAGCTCCAGAAAGACAAGCCCAGATTTTATTCCCGTGGCTGTGGAGGACCAGGCCAGCAGAGGAACCGAGGAGGTTGCTCCTCTGTAGCTCCTCAAGCGAGCTCTCTTCAGGGAGGAAGAGGGGATGCATCAGGTCTGCCCTCACCAAAACCAGGGTTGAAATAGTTGAAAATAGCTCCAGAAAGACAAGCCCAGATTTTATTCCCGTGGCTGTGGAGGACCAGGCCAGCAGAGGAACCGAGGAGGTTGCTCCTCTGTAGCTCCTCAAGCGAGCTCTCTTCATGGCTGGCTTTTTTGTTGTTTTTTTTTTTTTGCTCCTTTCTCTCCCAAAATGGGGAGGAGGAGGAAGAGGAAGCCAGCCTGCTGACTCGGGGAAACAGAACAGAACTTAAAAAAAAAAAAAAGCAAGTCTGATGGGTGGTGGAGGGCTGTGGCTCTCGGAGGTCTCACGAGCCTGCTCCGAGGTGGTGGTGGAGCCTCCCCCGGGTTCCCCGCAGGGCCGTGCAAAAATATCACCAAAACAACAGCTCCTCCAGCGCGTCTGCCCTCTCCCTGGAGAGCTAAATATAAACTAATCGGGGCGAAGAGAGGGGAATTTTCCACCCTGCTCCTCCTCTGCGCCTGCTGGGCTCAGCCCCCCCTGCCCAAACCCGCTGCGGGGGCACGGCACGAGTGCCACCCCTCCCTTTAGAGAGGAGACTTCCCATAAATTCCTCGAAACTGGTGGTGGCAGGGGCAGACCCGAGCTCTCCTTTTGGGCTGGAGTTTGCCCACGAGCAGCGTTATAATTATGAAAAAGGACTTTTCCAAGGTCACCCCGGGCGGCCGCAGCCTGGCTGCCCACGACCCGGCTGTTTGCTCAGGGCAGCAATGCAGAACAGGCTCTGGTACAGGGAACCAGGGGAGCAGATCCTTGGGCTGTTTTGATTTTCCCAAACTTGTAAAAGTTTGGGAAAAGTTGCCTTAAGAGAGATAAAAAAAATCCCCAAGCCAGAGCTTAATTTCTGAAGCCAAACTGGGGTGAGCTCTGATAGCTCAGGCTGTGGGTGCGTGAGCCTTTTAGTCATCAACAGGTGAAGTGGGTATCGATAATTAAAAAATGTCACCATGCAATTAGTTTACATTTTTAATTCCTCCTGCCTTCGGATGGTTGATCCGTGTGTTTTGGAGCCCGTGTGTTAGATATGTCAGGCATCACCTCCTACCCGTCTTTCTGGGAAGGTAAATCTATGAAGATTTCTAGATTAATTTCTAATTTCTAGATGATCTATCTGTGAAGATAAGCGAGATGTGATATGTCACAAGTTGCTGTTGAAATGCACGCAAGGAGGAAACTGCATTAGATTGACCTGAACGAAGCACGGGTCCTCGCACACGCCTGAGTTTGGCTCCAGAATCACTGTATTTGAGTAATAGTTTAAGAACTGGTTGAGTGAGTGCAAAAAATCTGTTCTGGTGCATTGAGTTTCTATAGCCCCCCCCTTAAAAATAACGCTGAAGGGAGACTTGGTCACGGTTTTTGCTTTTAGAGGATTAAATATAGCAGCATCACTGGTGTCACTCCTCTGTAGCCCATTTGAAGCATCCCTGGGGCTATATTATTCCCTGTTTTTGTGGATCCTGGCCGTAGGTTTTGCTTTCAGCAGCCAAAGTTGAGGGCTCGCGCTGTGCGGTAGGTACGGGGCCGTAGCGAGAGAGGAGTTTTACTTTGTGGCCGTTTTGTGCTTATATATCCTTACGTCTCCTAGGGTTTGTAAAAAATGAAATCTGGCAAACTTTGATCCGGCAGCTGGAAAACCTGCTCTCCCTCCCTCCCTCCCTCTCTCTCTCTCTCTCTGCTCAAAACCAGCCCAGGGAAGGAAGGACCACAAAACCCCTTTGGATGGCAGAGGAGGAGCGGGGTTTGGGGTTGGTGGTGGTGCAGAACGATGCTGCTGCCTGAGGTGGACCCGTGGCTGGCTCTGGGCTCCGGTCAGGACCCCCTGGCACCGCAGTTACGCCAGGTGACAGCAGTGATTTCTCATTTCAAGTGATGTGGGGAAAGTGACAATAACTCTGATTTTTGTATTTGTGTGTATTTGCGTGCTTACCTTAACATTACTGAAAACAGCCTCCCAGTGTGCTGGGCAATAGTTGTTGATGCTGTAAAATGACCTCAATTATATATATGATTGAACCCATTCTCACATGCATTTTTTTGTCCCAACTGCTACAAATTAATTTGTATAATATTTTTGAAAGGACACTTTTTAATACTATTAAATAGATGCCAAAAGCTACAATTCCGTGCCGATGCTGAAGACCTGTTACAATTATGAAGATACAGAAAGCATTATAAATGCCCACAATTGGTTTTGTAGCCTCTCTGTTAGT